TCATTAAAAGCAAGCTGTATTTCTTCTTCAAAATTCATTTGTCTCGATAAATCTACAGAATATTTTGTAAATAGTTTAGTGAGATGTCGTCGGAGAGGTACCATTTCTTTTGTGACCAGTTGTGCTAATGTAAAAGACGATTTTGTTAAAATATGTAGTTGACAGGGTGGTACATAAGTTGGGCCACGATTAAGAAATTTTATTTGTTCGAATGTTAGATTATGTACCGTATCTTGAATCATAGTTGATGAACAAATTATATTTGATTTGTCAGTAGTAAGAATGCTCCGATGGTGAACCAAATCTAATTCTTGACCATCGGAGCTACGTCGAAATAATGTAGTTTCATTTTATAAAGATGAAGAAGACGTTCATTGATATTCTTAAAGCGTTTTTCCATAATAGATATCATATTTTCAGTTAATCGTTTAGTAGGTGGACCTGAATGTTGTATATGTTGCATATCAATCCTCACTTTATTAAATTTTTCTTTTGTTTCATTCATTTTAGTTTCTGCTAGATCAATATAAACTAACATCATTTCAGATTTTGTTCTTTGTAAAATTTTTTGACATTTTTCATATAAGCGTTGTCGAATTCTTAGGTCATTAATGCTATTCAATGATATGGATGTAGGTATATCAAGTGATTGAAATGATTTTGGTAAATGATTATGAATAACACATTGTTTTAATATTGCAACTTCAAGTTTCGCCATTTCTTTATCACGTCTGGCTGTTGTAAGATTTTCGAATACTTCTTTCTGATAAGTATTAGGTTGTTCACTATAAAATTCTAACTGAATTAAATGATCCTTATAACTATGTTCAACAGCAGCTATTTCATTTTCAATAATTATTTTATGTAAAGAAACACCATAACGTAATACAAATTTTATAACAACTTCTTCCATTTCGCTTGTGAAAATATTCATAAAATGCTCCTTTGTTTGTTTCAATTGAGCTTGATAATCGACAATTTGCTTGTCATATTTTTTTAAAACGTCTTCAACATATTTGAGACAAGCATTATGATCATCAGCATTTGAATCTGTCGCGACTGTATCACCATCAGCTTTCATTTTCGATTTAACTTGTTCAGACCAGAATAAAACTTTCGAAGTGATATTAAACTCGTTTGATGTTGTCGCTGTAGTAATTACTTTCGAAGATTTAGATGACGCCTGCTTTGTCATTTTACCTGTACCGAATAATAAAAATGCTGTCCATAAAGATTTATCATGTTCAGCAACTTCAATGTTATGTATAAGATGTGCAATATGCCGTAAATCTTCCATACTAATAGAAGAATGAGGTATGTTTCGAAGAACAGTAGTCATTTTTTTTTCAAAATCTTCATTCGCCGGTGAAAGATATTGAGGTAAAGTACAATTGGATTGCTCTTTATCATCACTTGTTTTGAGCTTCTTGGTTGTTTGTACCACTTGTGAAGTCGTTGTTGGTGTGGTTGGTGTTAACACGGGACGCTTTTTACTTTTTGATTCATTCGATTGTTCCTGATGTGTCATCACCTTTACTTCACTGCAAGCTGGAAGTTGACTAAGTTTTTGAGACAAAGTATCCTCTTCGCCTGTAAGATCTACTACAATTACAGTTGAGGCATTATCAAGTACCTCTCCAACTGGAATTATGTCCTCGATGCCATCATTGTTGTTGTATTCATCTTCTTCTTCAATAATTCTTTGCTGAAGATTATCAAAATCAATATTTTTGTCTTCATCTTCATCCATATCGTCACCATATTTATGAAAGATATCATCAAATCGATCGACATCTGCTTCGAACTATATTACAAAAAACATGTTATCTTAGAAAATCCTTCCAAAATGTTTAAAATACTACATACATAATCGCCTGAGTCAGTCATTTCACCTTTTTTTCAATACTGAAAGAGAGAATCTAAAGAAGTATAGAAATCTGAAATAAGTAATGGAAAATTGTATAAAATTGAATAATAAAAGAAAAGTTTTCTTAAACAAAAAAAAAACGATACAATTCACAGTATGTAAAACAATCTCTAATGGATGGAAAAAGTTATTTTTTTTGATAGATTGCTGTAGTGTCATTTCGTGACTTGAATTTTTCGAGATGTACATTTACTTCATTCGATGGTTCAATGACATTTCTTGTCTGTTCGATGGTTCGAGAAAGCGTGAAGCTTTAATTTGTAGACAGATAAAAGGCGGTCACTAATATTGTTGAAACGATTTATCATAATATCGAACATATCTTTAGTTAATTTTTTATATGATAGATGTGTTGATACATTTTCTTTTAATTTATTCATTGCATCATTAAACTGGAAGCGAGACTGATCTGCTCGAATTTGAGCAGCGTCAACATAAACTTGTATTAAATCAGTTTTGGTTCGCTGTAAAATTTGATCGTATCGATTTTTTAATGATTGAGCTGTTTGTGTATCTATGATTGGATGTATTGATGTAGGTTTCAATATTTCGAGTTTATCAAATGATTTCGGTAGATAATGAAGAGTGATACGTTGTTTTAATAGAGCAAGTTCTAGTTTCGATTTCTCCATAACAAATTTCTTTTCTGTAAGAGATTCGAATAATTGTTTCTAAATAGAGGAAAAATAGGAAATTGAAAGTATTCTACAGTTCTAAGACTTACTTGATATAGATTTGAATTTTGACTACAAAATTCAAGTTCACATAATCGATCAAAAAACTCATATTCAATACGGATAATTTCTCTTTCAATAGCTATGCGATTTACAGCAATTCCATATTCCTGAACAAATTTCATAATAGTTTCTTCAATTCTACTTGTCCAATGATTGTGTAAGTGTTTCTTTTTCTCTTCCAACTGATTTCGGTAGTCGACTGTTTGGAGTCTAAATTTTTCTAGAATCTTCTCTACATATTTTATACACTCATCCTGATAGATTTCGTTCACATGTGTGGCTGTCGTTTCATTTTCTGCAATCATTTTTAATTTCAGTTCAGTAGGCCACAATACTAGAGACGGTTCTTTGCTTTCTACTAATGTACCTTGACCAGAACGGAGATATGTTGTATAAAGACGTTTTTGTAATTCAATACGTTGAAGTTGATCAATAAGAAATGAAATCGCTCGTAATTCTTCTGTATAAATAGAAGTGCGAGTTTGTAGACGGAGACCTAGGATCATCTGATCAAATTCTTTACTTTCATGTGATAAATAAGTAGGTATCATTGGAGTGAAAGTGACGTTATCTGTTTTGGGTCGATTTGTCGCGTTCCATTGAGTAGTACGTTGATATTGTTTCTGTGAAGCCGCTAGGTCACTTAACTTTACAGATAAATATTGTTGTTTTTCTTGTTTGTTATCTGTTACACCAGTTAAATTCTGATCTACTTGTAGACATTCTTCCAAATCAAATAAATCATCGTCATATTCTTTCACGAATTGCCTACGTCTCTTATTGAATTGAATACTTGTCTCGTCATCTACATTAAAATCATCATGAAATTCTGCAAAAATATCTTCAATCTAAAATAGACATAGCACGTATGTATACTGTAAATTCAATATCATCCCTCTTACGTTTCCTTGTGCTCGACACATTCTCTGATAAATACACAGAGAAAAATAACTTTACAATGATGAAAATATCTAGAAATATGAACACAAACAGAAATGATTATGTTTTAATGTCCTTGAAACTAATGTTTGACACATAAATATGAAGAGTATAAATGACATATAAACACAAGAAGAAGTTGAAAACCACTGCAATGCATGTCAGACGTACAAAATCTTATCTAAAATAATGATAGTTTGATTAAGTTTATGTGAATCTATAAACTAATGCTAAAATTGAAATTGTCATACACTGAGAAAACAAAAACTAAGCCAAAAATTAAAGCACAATAATATAAATTTTTAAACAAAGAAAAGTAAACTGGAATAGGATCCAATTGTCACAATTTATCTTTTGTATCGACGGCCAATTGATTATCGCCACGAGCTGTATCTTGAGCGATACCAATAGGCATAGCCATTAAATCAAATTTTAATTGTGTCATTGTTTTTGAGCAACGTGATGCCATACTAGCACGCCAATCTTTATGTAGCATAGAACGTGACAACATTGTTTGAATATGAACAATCGTTTGATCAAGAATTTTGTCAAAGGATTGTGGAAGTCACCTTAATGAGATGCGTTTTCGAAGAACTTCCATTTCTTCCAGTGCTTTTTGTTCATTTACTATGGCTTTCCAATACATTTTGATTCATACAATCTAAAACATCCAACAAATAGTGGCGTTTATTACTATTGTATTTCATAAATGTAGTCTATAGACGAACCTGTTCTTGACTGGGCTTGAAAGCAATACACGGCTGAAATAAAACGATGATCATTAGCATCGAATTTTATCATTGCTTGTTTATGTTTGAATTGAATATCTAAGCGATGTTGGCCCCTATTCACCATTACGTCAACAGCTTTTGATAGAAATATCGAATCGATGGGTGACATTACATTTTCAGTCCATTCGGGTAGGTGAATTAATTGTTGTTGTAGGTCGCGATTAGTTCGATATATTTGATTTTGAATGGTTTTTTGATGTTGTTCAACTAATTTCTCTGATCAACCGTATGACATACAAGTATGGTGCTCTTTCGTCAATGATTTCGATACTCGTGGAGTCCATATACCAGTACTCATACCCAGGTCGAAATAATCTGGCCATAATTGTTGTTGCAATTGTAAATAATACATAGAATTAACAGTATGAGCTAATTTACGTGTTGATTTTAACTTTTCATCATTATCAAACCATTGAAATAGTTTGTGACCATCAGGAACTGCTATTGATCATATTTCTTTACATTTCCGATTCGATACTGTCAAATATTGAGATAGAAAACTATTCCGTAACATTTGAACTGATAATTTTGTTGGATCGTTCAGTTCACGTCTCATTCGTGAAGAAACATTGTTGATGTGAACATTTTTAATCTTCTTTTTCTTTGCACATCCTTCTAAAATAGACAATCGACTCTTAGATTGACTGAGATGTGTGTCAATTTTAGTTGATGCGTAGCGTTTGCGTTTGTTTGATTTAAATTTCGAAAGGAGATCAGTGATGGGTATCTCCTAATCATAAAAGAATAACATGATCAGTAAGACTACAATTATTTGTCTCTAGTTATCTATTTTTACCATTATTTGTGTATCCTCGGCTACTTTTCTGTTTGCATTATTAATTTTGTTCATTGGTGTTGCTGTGTTATACAGATTCATATCTTCCACATGTTGTCGTTTTCTTTCTACGTCTTGCTTGTGCTAAGAATGCTCTGGTTTCATCATCTAAATTTCGGTTATGCAATCTTCTTTGGAAATGTTGTTCAACACGATTACCGTGACTTTTTCTTTGCTTCTTTTGTTGAGTCGCCGCTAGTTGTGGTTGATGTGGTTGCTTTGCTCGAAAAGATTCGATGACGAGTGGTCTTTCTCCTTCTCTTCGGTGAAAATTCGCGCCACCAATGTTCTTAATCTTCGGGCAATTGTTGTTTATCAGTCATCCTAGGCGTATTGAAGAAAGATCTATCCACTGAAATATATCTAAAATACAGGAAACCGAATCAATGTACACTGAGATGATAGGAGATACAAAAAGACTAAAGCATTGCATTTATCAAACTATATGTTTAATGCTACTACTACGACTACAACATTGCTACAAACAAACTACTCGTACGACTGCAGCAATGAAAATGAACAATGTTTATGAAGCTCTATAATATTGATCAATGTGGTTTGTTAGAAATGATCTGTAGGATGTTATTCTAAAGAAAAACAAAATAACCATGAGGTATGATCACTAGAGAAAAAGAGAAAAGTAAACATCTAGATATACGAACTCTTCTTTTCTTCATAATCGTTCGATAAAGTTAAGAGACGAAGAGGTGGGCGTTTCTTGACAAGAATATCACTATTGGTCAAACCAATGGATGTGGGTCGTATCCATTTGATCTGATAAATCTTTTTCTGTGATCCACTAGCATAATAATTATTCCACCAATATTCAAAACACTGCTTGAAAGCATCTGTACTATCTTGATCAATGAAATGTGGGCATGCCATAAATATTGTATGATCTATTTCTTTTTCACGTTGCTGCTTCAATTCTATTTGTTGTTCCACATCTTCGATAATACGCCGACGTAAATAATTATATTGATTATCATCCAAAATTGTTGCCGAAAATGTTTCAGGTAAACCAAATTCTCGGTAAAAATGTTCAATACCCGAGTGAATAAATTCTGTGGTAGAACCAAATAGTAGAAATGATACTTGGATAAATAGGAGTTCACTATGAAATTTCTCGACATCAGAACAGCAACGAACGGCTCGATACAGAACAGCGTATAATTGATTCGAAGTATTTTCCATTATTTCATCGGTTACATTCGGTAAAGTATCAATATAGGGATCATAGTAAACTTTACTATCGAGACTACTCTGATGAGTAGAACTCATTTCTACATCTTGAAAATAGGCGGTGGATCCAATAGATATTGTCACAGCATTTGAAATTTGCTCCTCACCCACAGGAGCATTATTCAACAAGATAAGAAATTCATATTTAGATCCATGCCATGTTAAGATTGCTTGTTCTCGATATCTATTTCGAAATGTATGTACATAGAAGACATTAGTTATAATGGAAGAAAGAAGAGAAAGAAACTTTTTCAAAAATTTACCTGCCAAAAAATTCATTATTTTTAGTAAAGATTTTCACGAGTTCACTATGTTGTCCAAAAAAGAAATGAAGATAGGCCAAGAACCTAGTTAAAGGTAAACCGGAAGCACCACCCTGAATTTGTTGATACAATGTGTAATTATAAACACAGAATTGAGTTTTTAAAACAAAATCTACTAGTTTCAGGATAGTATCAATAGTAAGATCATTTAATTTTTGATCTGATAAATGTTTTCGAAGAAAATAGGCCAATGTGGCCATTGTTTTCTCATGGGGAAATATAGTTGTCAATTCATTGATATTAAATGTAACGAAAACAATTTGAGATTGAAGTTGACCCATCTGAGCATAATGTTCCATAGCATGGATAACATCAATGGCACCATTGGAAAATCGGGTGCAATTTGTTGCTCGATCAAAGATAGACCATAGAAGAGGAGTTACATAACGCACTATGTTCATTGTTGGACCTTCATTACAGACGAAAATCGGTTGAAGAGGACTATTTTCCTAGAAATATTTCGTGATAGATACGAATGGCGACACAAAGAAAAACAGAAAAGCCTACGCACCATACCAGTTTCGGGTACAAAATACAGATAATGCATTCGAACTGAGGTTGGCACAATGTTCATTAACAGATATTGTGCTTCTGAGATACAATTTGAATCAAGTAAATTATCCAACATAGTTTCGACACCGTTCACCATTTCAGCTAAACATGTTTCACTGACATTGTCGTTAGTACGATCTAATTTTTGTATGCATTTGTAGACACCCGTTCGCTTCATATAATCAATTGATTTCTGGTGAAAATCTTTTTTAGAACCTAAGTAAAATGAAGTACCCTTGTATGGTAATCGAATAATGATGTTTCCAGCGATTGATTTTCGTCGGATAGATAGGATAGTACGATTTTCACCGCGAGTCTTATGACGTTCATGTACTTTTAAGTGATTATATTTAAGTTGCCGCATATAATTAGGTATATCATTCCAATCGAGATCTTTTAATTCTTCAGGCTCTCTATGATGATGAGTTAATCTATTATCTTCGGTTTCATCATTATTATCACCATACAAATTCCATGTGACATCATTATCACCATCAATGGACATCCATTCTTCATTGTCATCATTTTCATCTTCAAATATGGTGGACATAACGCCTATGCTATTTATTTCCGTGTAGCTCTTAGGCTTTCTAGCAGTTTGTTTCTAAGGATATTTCAAAGAATTGAATGTGTATAATATAGAATAAAATGTCTGTTACTTTTTGTTCATGTCGAATCAATTGTGCTTCAGTGGTATTGTCTTCATCAAAAGTTTGGTTTTCGACATTATGATGTTTTGAAACTGTCGTCTTATTATCATTGTCATAGCCCTTTCTCGTATCCATATCTTTGAATAAAAAATAATTGTTATGCTGAGACTTTTCCAAACAAAAGAAGACATACATGTGTAGTTACCTGATTGTAGTAGAGGACTTTCGTTTCTGTCAGCGACAAGTAAAGTGTTCTAATCGATTGCAATGAAATTAGGTAGATCTAGAATAATGAAAATACGAAACATTTTGTGAGCACTATTCGTTTCCCGAAGAAGTTTTGAAGGTTTCGCCTTCGATGTTTTTGCTTTTTTCATCCGGTAATACCAAGATGATATCATTTTAGTGGTCATCATTCGAAAAATGAGTTGTGAAATGAAATATTTCGAAGGGTTTTTCTTCATCAAAGTACGACATTTTCAATTGAAACTGATTCGACAGTGAACAAAACTAAGTGGAAAGAAAAATAAAACATTATATATATGTGAAGGACCGTCGAAAATCCGTAGGATAAACAGACGAACTTACTGTCGAATAGTTCATTGAACATTTTGTTCCTTTTCTAATAACTTTAGTATCAGGTATGTTTTTGAAAATATGAGACGATCAACAAAAAAAATCTACAGCGATGAGTTTCAAAGACTGGGCAAGTCTTCTTACACAGTTTCTATGGCATGAAATTCGAATGTCGTAATCGCGACCTTTACAATCCCATCAGAAGTACACTATAGGATAATGTGTCACCATAATATCACAAAAGATAATCTACATGGCTTATAAGCGAATTGAAAAGCTGACTCATATTACGCGGCTTCACAAACAACGCCTCCTTCACACACTCGGCCGCTGCTGTCGCTGGAAGAATATCAACGAAGACAATCAAAAAGAAAATAAGTGGCCCTGAACTATATGATTGAAAACGCTGTGTTGTTAAAATTTGCTCGTTTTTCTTTTCATTACATTTTGACTGAGAATGTCAAGCTCAATTGAATGATACGTGAGCGAAAGAAAGACATCATTAGCATTAGAAAGTATTCCATGATGAATGCGTCCAGTCTACATGAGATTGGTGATAAAGGGAGGCACAGTACTTCATCGGATATACGCCCTGTTATGGTAGTAGTCCTGTATGGAGTATCGTTCAGTATAGGATCAACTGTGGTGAAAAAATCATCACTACCAACAAGAGACAAGTCATTCACCCGAACAGTGATGCTAACACAAATAGTAATCAAAGCGTTCGAAAAGGTACGAATTGGTCCTGAACAACTCCATGTAAAAACTTTGACCCAATCACTTTTACCGCCGAACATGTTTCCTTTTGTTTAACAGTGATAGACATGTCTAGTCTCAAGCGTTCGAAAGAAAATTCGTGTATTTGACGCTTAGAATTACCATCACTCTTCAATTTATTTTCATATGGAGGGGGGAGGGATGTGAGCCCAGCAAAATTTTGAAAACTCATTCTAATAATATGCAAACGTGACGGAGGACTCAATGAAGTGATGAATTTTTTGCTCGAAACATATCAACCGAAAGAATGAGAGAGGCAACGATCCCAATTTGACCATCTGATCGCAAGTTTCCACACTTTCCCATGAATTTGACTCATTATCTCTTGTCAGATAGTTTTTAAGGCTCAAATTGCTGATATATCGGCAACGGAGGCAGTTTATTAGCATTCAAAAATTCTTTTATGAGACACATAGCCACAACGGCATTTACAAACATGACAATCGAACCTACAGTGTCCTATCAGCGCCTATGTCTCTTTTTCACATTCACTTCTGAAATACATAAGCACCAAGAAATGTCTCACGGTTAAATCGGTGTGGATCTCTTGCGAAAGAAGACTGAAAATCAGAAGGGGCCTTATTCTTGTATATATGTCAATTATCCCGGTGGCGATGGAAGCAAAAGGGAATGGATGATCATGGTGAGAAGTGCCCGGCGTGTTCCAAAGACCTGCAATTTGTATGTGATTTGAGAGAGATGTCAAAAAATTATTAGAAATGTGAAAGTTCATACTACACTACGTGCAAATTAGATTTTTTTTTGTTGTATGTCCAATTGCAAGTCTGAATGCAATATTTGAACTTGTCCTCTTGTTTTGTGCCGTTATGTGCTTTGGTGTCGTTGTAATGCTATTTCTTTTTTTCGAACAATTAGTCTTGTTGAGATCTAGAGTTTTATTCGATGTGGCCCATTATGGTAGGCTTAGATGCAGGGTGCTTCATGTCATGTGGCTTCTTCATGCTGATGTACGAGAAGCCAATGATAGATGTATTCGCTTCATTTTGTTGTTCAGTGATTTTTTATGAAGTTTGCATCTCAAGCAGACAGTGAAGTATTGTGCGTGTGATCCTCTTTGTACAGATATTATGTGATTGTTGACTGGTTGGTTGGATATTTTCAATGTTTGTTTGATAGTTGAACTTCTAATTATTACTGATATATATATATATCTACAATAAGAAGAGAATTCACTTTATAATATATTTATGGGAATAAAGATAATATGAATAAAAGAAAAGAATATAAGAGACGATATAATTAAGATATCATACAAGCACACTGATATAAACAGTTTATGTATTCTAAAATAGAAGAATAGTTTAAGCACGATGAATTTAATAAATGTATGTTTATACTTTTTCATGGGCATGATGTTCACTTATATAATCTTCAATTTGTTGACGACTCCAGTTTTCGTCGATGATACAGGAGAGTTTTGATAAGGCTAGAATTTCTTGAATATTGTTTTGTTTCATATCCAGTTTTTCATGAAATGTATAGGCAATAGCATTAGCGAGAGACCATTGATCATTGAAATGCTTCAGGGGTCGATATGTACAAGTACATAATGGACCGTCTATATCGTCAAAATCGAGGATTTGACCACAATTTTCCTTATGAGCAAATGTTGTATTATACCAAGTTTTAAACGAATGTTGAATATTTATTATATGAACTTTGTTCGTTTGCACATGAGAGAAGGCACGATAAATTTGCTGATATAATAAACGTTGATTTGTATCTCCCCATGTTTGAATTGTATCCGATACTTGAAATATATTCGAAAGCAATTCATCAATGCGTGGATGTTCAAAATAGTATTCAAGAGAAAGTTTTATGACAGTTTGAACAGAAGATGTGGGTTTAATAAATTCTATGATTATATGATGTTCATTGGACAACCATGGATCATTGGGTATGATTGTGAATATTTTTGTTTTCTTTATTTCGGTAATTAACTCTTCAAATACACTAGGTAATGTTGTTTCGCTCATATGAAGGTATCGATGTGATCGTATTGGTACGAAATTAGATAAAATTTTTGTCTTTTGATTTGTGTTGACATCATTTTCTCCAATGGTTATTCCAAGAAATTCTTTGAGAGTTGATTCAAAAATCACTATAAGATTTTCTTGTCGACAATAATTTATTAATGTAGATACAACAATACCAAGTAAGATCGATATGAATGAATCCGACATCATATGTGTCCATTCTATCCATATTGTGCTATTAGTCGTACAAATTGAGGTATTGTTCGAGCTACAAACGGGATGAATGTTTGAAAAACAAACCACCATGTAGAAAATATGTGAACAGAATAAATCCGTAAGCATTTTTCACTTTAAATCTAAAAGAGAAGTATTTAATTTGATTTTCATTAGCTAAATGCTTTAGGAGTAAATTTATTTTTCAATATAATTCATAAACATCACTCAATTATAGAAAATAAAACAAACATAGACAAAATTGAATCTATATATTCATCTCTTCATTACAATAATAAACATAAGATAGATATCTTTTCAACAACATATTTTGAATTTTCTACAAGATTTTCCTATTGATAAGGGGTGATATATATATATATATATATTTATATATAAGAAAAGCAAAAACAAATACGATAATTCCTAGGAAAATATATCAATATCTATATAGATATATAGAAATGTATATAGGAGAACGAAAAGCCACAAATCTACACATTATAAATTTTATTTTACATAGAAACAAATCGAAAAAATTCATTTCTTCCTATCGATGTGATGAAGTTGAATAATTCTTATTCATTCTAGAATAGAAAAAAAAAACAAACATATTTGTTTTTCTTCTTACAAGTACTCGACGATATAGATGACTGTTTACCTGTGAATCGATATGAGACTCTTTTCGGTAATTTTCTACCTGTTGACGTGTCCATTTGTTTTGAATCATATTGAAGAGCTTGGTGATGGCTGGACATGCGTCTGAACTATTAATTCCATTATAAAGATTTTCATGAAATGTATATGCAATAGCATTTGTTAAAGACCATTGCTCAGTTGGACATTTTACTGGTCTATGTGAACATGAACATAAGGGACCGTCAATATCATTAAAATCAAGGAGCTGATTACAACTTTGATTGTGACCAAATGTTTTATTATACCACGTTTTAAAAGAACTTTGACCATTTACGAAATGACATCGATCGATATTGCCATTCAAAAAAACTTGATAAATTTGATAATTTATTAAATTTTTATCAAAATCTTCCCATATTTGAAGCATATTCGATGGATGCAATATCATCGAGAGTAAATCATCAATTCTTTGAAATAAAAGATTATGTTGATGGAAAACTTCCAATGAAATAATGATAGAAGAAGATTGTTGTATGAGTTCTATTTCCAAATAATAATCACCAGAAAACTTATTATTATATGGACGTATTGTAAATTTAGTTGTTTTTCGAGCTTCATTTATCAATTCATCGACGACGATAGATGATGTGCGTTGTTGAATAGCAATAAATCGGTAAGGTTGTAACGAGATAAACTTATATAAAGTGTTTCTCGATGTATGTGTATCTAATTTCAGATTTCTCTTACATTTACAGTTCATTTCTTTAGCTAATATTGCAATGATGGATTTTACTTTTCGTTGTTGATAAAAATTTATTAATGAAGATATACCGATACCTATGAAGAAGGATAGAAATACATTCGTTATAGCATTTATCAATCGTGCCCATATTATATCATTGTTTTTGAAATTCGAAGTTTCATTGCATGAATCAATAAGATGCAAATTGGAAAAACAAAACAAAAGGATGAAAACATATGAGTCGAGTAAACGTTGGCTCATGGTTGATTCGTTTAAATCTGAAAAATAAAACAAAAGAAAACGTTTATTCTCGAAGTATCTGTAGAATAAGCTTTCCACAAAAGAAAATAAATGAAAGTAGAGTTGAATATGCTTCCGCATCATTATTCCGTATACAGTATTGTCCAATATGATAAGTGGTTTCATAGAGACAATTTCAAGGAATAAACAATGGAACAGTTTCGATACAAACCTACTATCTCGTTTCTATAGGGCATTCAATTTTAAAAAGAAATACTTTGGAATGGAGATATAGTCTACCGAGATGACAATCAAGTAACATTCACCTCTCTCATATATTTGAATTCCATGTGCGATCTCTTCTAGAAATTGGAACGATAGCATTTCTGATCATTGTTGCCAATGTGTCAACTATATCCACTTCAATTCATACACCTGTTTCAAATCTTTTAGAGGGTGAATATCATGACATTTATTTATATAAATGCAAACATGCGAGATATTTCATAAAATTTTGAATTTAATTTCATTCGGAAATAAATGAATAGATTTAAAGAAATTATGAAGAATAATTATAAAACACTCTACGAAAACAAAAAGCAAAATTCTAGTTTGACATTGAGAAGTGGAACACTATAGAATATTAAGATGATTCCGAAATTCAAAAACATTGATAAGAGAAAAAGAGCATGCAATAGCGTATAGTGTTGTAGAAAAACTTTTTGAAAAGAAACAATGTTCTCGTATGCCATGCCCGAAGGAAGACATATCTTCAATGTTCAATTAAACGGTTTGTTCTTGAATGGAGATGAGTGTTGGTGAAAGTTCCTTATTGAGATTCATTAGTTGGATATTCATTACATCTTGTTGGGGTGGTTGCTTGTAGAAACGTGAAATAAAACGTGAGACAACACTGAATAAACGCAGAAGATTTCTATTCAAGGCGAATTTTGATAAGCCTATATAAATTAGGAAAACCATACAGATGCATAGCAAACCGAATTGAATGAGATAAAACCACATGAAGGCTGTTAAAATTGTAATCAGTTGATCATGATGAATATTATCTATCATTGATGTTTCATTATTAAATTTTGTAACCATTTTTTCCAATATGGTAAGACTATCGTGCAAGACTGTTTTTAATACATGTACATCCATATTTGAACCCTTCATATGAGATTGGATTGATCGGTTATTAATCATTTCAACTAGGATTGTATGTAGATTTAGAGTGGAGGATGGTTTTAGTTCTTCTGAAATCGTTTGTCTTGAAAATAGATGCATTGGATGATCAGTTTCATTCAACATAGTTAGTTGATATGGAGCATTGGTAGGACAAGGTAAGCTATTGCACAAATGAAATGTGTTTGATAGAAAGAGACATAGAGTGAAGAAGAGATTGTAGAACATGGTAAACTTTTTCTGTTGGATGTGTTTTTATCTAAAATTCGAATCGATTCTAGATTCAATTGAATACCCTATTATTTCTGATAAAATCTTTCCATTTAACATAGATTTCATTAGAAATTGAAATAACAAATGAAAATAAAACAAAGAAAACATACATGTGAATGCTATCAATCCACTCTAAAAACAATCTACAATAAATGTATATGCCATAGATTATATGAGGAGGATAAAATGAAAACGTATTGATAAACAAAACTAAATCACTTTTTTTTTTGAAATAGCACTGAGTCAATGTGGAAGTTCATATCGATGAATGATTCAAATGAGCACACCAAACAAGATTATAGGGAAGACCATAATGCCGTTCAACATCAAAACCAACTGGACAAATCATATTCAATTTGGTTTCGGCATGTATAATGAATAAGGTTTCGATAATATAACGTAATAGAATGGAATGATCATCCGGTACTAGATAAAGAAACAGACGTGACAAAACAATAAAAAAATCAATCAACCGAGTGGTTTACTTACAAACAGCAATAATGGCCATTTTATATAAATCCACAGTAATATAGGGTAAATCATGAATAGATGAGAGAATAAGACGTCGAAAAAATGCACGTTGTTTTTGTAGTTGTCTATATGAAAAGGTGTAGGCAGTCGGTGGTAATGGGACGCGATCAAGATATTGGGTTATTTGATAAGTGTCAGTTGCATTTGTGGCGAATATGTATGCCAAATCAGGATCTCTCACAGAATATCCTCGGTAGCAATTAGTATTCTCCGCTAGTGCTTCGTCCCAACACAGGGGAATAAAACACCAATAAACTGGATTACAATCTAGAAATGAACGAAGTGCAACTGGACATCGTGCTGAATGTTGATAGAGACGCATCTTATTTGTCATTTGTTTCCTACGAAGCAAAAAAAAAAAGTCGAATAAGGCAAATGCCATATCGTACAATTAAATGATGATTTCTATGTTTTCATTACTCTTGCTCGTCGAGATCGAGTAATGAACCTCGAAAGAGTGTACTGCCCGTTAATTTTTCATGAATAATTCGATTGCCATGTATGTGATGAACTGTATGACGAGAAGAACAAAAACATTGAATATATATATATAAATGATCATAAGATGAAAAAAAGAGTTCAAGACTTACATGTCATCGCATCTGCTAATGTTTTTGCTGTTGAATCGATATAATCATAATGACCACATGGACATGTCATTGCATAGACAAGATTTCTTGTAGCACATGTCTAAATTTGAACAAAAGACTTTACTAGTAAAAATTATATGACTGACAACAATCTACTGCTGGACAATTGAGATAAGTCGTGTATCCATTAACAAATTGATGCATGGAACTAGAAGCAAAGTCAACAATAGGCCAGACTTTCGTTTTCTTGCAACTATTGATCGGATGACAACATAAACAAGAAAGATTGCCACATGGATGTACTGTATATCTAGCTTGGGGTTCATCTTGTCCACAGAAGAGACCTTCTGTTATTGATCGAGGTACAGCTCCGCCAAACGAGCAAGTTTTCATAAAGAATACATCCACTGTGAAATAAACAAACAGAGGATAATGAGCTATTATTTGTTTCTTATGAAAACTGACCGTCGATTTGTAAATAGAATTCTAATGCAATAGCCATTTGTTTCGAATTGAGTGTTGGCTCTTTTAAAGCAACATCTTTCTTCAATAGAATATTTCGTCGAAATGATTCATGTAATGCCATAAGAGTACAACAAATGCCACGCAGTCGATCAGCATTAAAAGTAATGATGGCCTTGCCTATTTGCAATCGTACAGATAATTCGTGAGCATCTGCTTCAGTCAAACTGAATCTATCGACATATTTGTACTTATTTTCTAGTATGAGCGCATCTGGCGTGTGTGCTCCATATTTTCGACGTGCTATTTCATGAGATGCAAGGCGAGTTACTAGTGAAAAAAAAAGCACAACAATGAGAAGCAATCTAATGGTGACAGACACACAATGACAAACTAACCTGGTACATTTGCCAAAAGTAGACTATCATTAATGCCAGTCGATTGCGTTGGAAATAGTGGTAAATAAATAATTCGTCCGCAATTTTTATCCAGTACTGTTTTTGGTTGAAATTCCTGTTGTTCATTATTCGTTGCACCAGAAGTAACCTGTTCTGTTGGATTGAAATCCATCTAGAATCAAAAATCTACGATGAAGTATTTTAGCAATCGATACTCCTTTGAAGTTCACTGTCGTCCTACGTTGTAATCACCTTTTTTTTTGTTTCGAGAAAAAGGTGTCAACAGTTCAATCCATTCTCGATGGCTGCTTTCCACTCATGGTTGTCACATCATAGAAGGGATTGTCAGCAATGCTATACTTATTTTTCACTGTAGAATGCCTTGTGAATAGAGTGGCGCGCAAACACACGTTACGAATCAATTGTCATTCATTTTCGAGATAAAGAAGGGCCCACGAAAAATTCTTTCCACGAGGCGAAGGTCTGCAAAAAAATTGAATGCGAACCAAAGAACCAACAATACGAGGTTCGTCGCATGAAGAAGCTGCAAAGGCTCCATTCTTCAAGTCAGTGGCCATTCCTGAAAAGCATCCAGATACAACTATGGGCGACTAAGACCAGACAGCGAATTTCATGTGGCCACTTGCTCATGGGATGATGACCCTCAAAACAGTCTTGCCTGTGAAAAAAGAAAAAAAGAGAGATGGTGACGCATTATGCTAGGGAGTGAAGCATTGCAGATACGCATGTTCATATGCCAAGGATTCTATGTCGGTACCTGGCGCCATGTGCCCATGTGTTGAAGACATTCGGAGAATACACTGTGAATCGAGGCGCCTATAAACTTTCTTCATTAGGACGACTACAACGCCAAGATGATACTGTCGAATGAGCGTTATGTGGCGACTGCACTCGACGAATCCTGTGGGAGGAATGGAGAACACTCCGCAAAGTTGTCTCATTGCATTGAGTAGCCCAAAAAAAGGAAAAATAGAACTTCAATTGTCCCTGTGACTACGAGCTGATGGCGAATTCGACACGGCCTTTCCATCTAAGAGTCGGCAGCACAATTTTCTAACCGTGAAGTCTTTTGGAAAGAATCGACCGCGCCCAATAAAATCGATGTCGACTGTGAGCGAAATGAGTCCGCCTATGAAAGGCATTCAAAGAACTCAATGTTCATCGAAAAATATCTACTATTTTAGCCGTAGGATAGAGAAGGACTGCAAGAATATGACCGTTCTGTTACTGGCCATTCACAGAAAATCCACTCTCCATACTCGATAATAGCAGAAACGTGCGATAAATTAAACGGTACGACGAGCCCATATGATGATTTCCCTCAAGCAATAGGCCTTGTCGAGAATAAGTTGAGTGGGCCACATTGGCGCAACGAGAATGCGCCGAAAAGCTGACACTCAGAATTGTCTTCAAATAGTGGCCCTATCAACGCAAAGTCGTGGTGCATTATACTTGAGGCCAACAGTTTCCTAAGCAATGTTCGTGTGCTCAGTAGACCTCGACAATTTATGCCCCGCGTCTTTGTGCCCATGTGGCAAAGACTGGAGATCAATGGTCTGTGGATCGAAGAGGCTCCGATTGTTTGTCCGTCGGACCAACAGAATGCGAGAATACGCGTGTGCGACTGAGAGTAGGCGATGTTTGCTGCAATGAGTGAATCGTTAATGTAGGTAGATTGTTAAGCCAAAGACGGTAGGATGGATTCGCGGATTGGTCAAGCCGGTCGAACAGTGTGTGTAGGGTTGTTTATGAAGACTCGTGCATACGAGGATGTTTCGGTGACGACAAGTCGTCGCGGATTATCAATCCAGATTGTTTTTTTTTTTGGTTGAGTATTACGCACGAGCGATTCTCGTCCAGATGACGATTGTGCGACGAGTTCTTACTGAATGGAAAATAGGGGGTAATGAAGAGTTGATACAAAATGTACACGACGACCTAAGGACAAGTGCGCGTTGTGGCGAACCGCAACAGTGGTTTTGATGTGGGCTCACTATTTCTTTGATGAGATGCGTAATGATCAATCGTGTTTCAGCCGATCGGTTTGTTGACATGTCAGTTATTGTTTTCATGTTTTCTGAAAGCGTAATAGAACAACAAGAATAGATAGAATTAGGAAATTGTTTTTTTTTTTTTCTTTAATTTGTGAAGAAAAAGAAAGAAAAGAGTAAGATATATGTGAGTAACATAAAAATCATTGTAATGTGACGACTACATGGAAAACAATAAAATATGGATTATAGGAAAGTTTTGATTAGAGTCATGTAAATAGTAGGAAGAGTATTCTTCAAAATCTGATCACTTTTCATCGTCTGTTGCAGATGATTTGGGCCACGGCAGATCTATGATAATAAAACCTTGCATTGGATCGAAGAGTTCTGCGTCGAGCCAATAACTATAGTTGTCTTCTTTTTCATGGACTTCTTGTGTTTGATTTATTGGTGTCGCTGAATCTATGTGCTGTTCTTGGTGTAATTCTTCTGCCTGATACACAAAATCTTTTTCTGGTAGAAGATTCGAATTCTGTACTTGTTCAGTGAGCTAGAACGATCAGAATTGAAAAACAAAATGCTTCGATTAGCATTCTTTTTCTCGTATCTAATGTCATTGTTTACCTCACACTGCGGAATTTCGACACGACATTGCATACAATCAGCTAAATTAACCGTGACCTGGGTTGTTCGAAGTTGCTCATCATACATGTTATTTTCATTTTCAGTCGTCTTGTGAGATGTTGACCAGACATCATTGCTCATATGAGACGACTATTGAAATAGAAGAAATTGATTTTCTATCTGGAATTGTTTTTTCAGTTACCTGATTCAAGATCGGTTGATATTGGGTCTCATTTCTATCTGTTTGTTTTGAAGCAGCTGAAACGAAAGAGACATTATCTCAAAGGAAGATGAAATATTAATTATATTATATTAGACCATTGGATCCATCCGGTGTGTCTTGATTTTGAAAGCAATTCGACATGATTTTTGGAGAAAAAGTAATTCGAGTGCAAAAGTGTGATCTACAAGGAATAGAAACAAAATCAAAGTGGATTTTTTTTATACGATCATGAGTTTCAGCATGATATTTCATTCAGAAACAAAATCCAATTAAAAAGAAACACGATTCCATAGGAAGAAACGGACAATGAGTAACTATAAGCATTTTTTAATTACTGCATAATTGTAAGGGTTAATTTATTGACAAATGAAGGATTTGGAAATCAAATGTTGTTGGACATTTCTTGGATCAGCATTGCATATAGTTCAACATATTCGAAAAAAGAGAAAAACTTGATTTAAGAATGAAGAATATTTTGCTACATTATAGGAATAACATATCGGACAAAAAAAGAAATGATACATGACTGTCTTTTTTTTCGAAAGTTACTTTAATTCACTTCGTAACGTACGGAAAAACGTAGTACGCCCACCAGCTGTTTCAGCAAATGATGGCATCGTTTCTTGCATTTGCCATAATACTTCAAAATGTGGATCTTGCCAAATTTTTGCTTCATGTAAAAGAAATGCTTCACTTCGCTCATTGTTCAGTAATGATACAGATGTACAGAAGAGACTAGTAGGCATTTGTTGTATCATGTTATTCTCTTGTTGTTCGCATAGTAAAGGGTATAACAAAGGAACACATTGCAATGAAGATAATGGCATGTTTGGAAAATTGGATGATTCTGAAGAATTAATTGTTACTATGGAGGGTAATGATGAACGATTCGTCGAATTTATCGTTTGGTCTAAATCCATTGATGACGATGTTCTTCTAGGAACATGTTTGTCTAAACGATAATGATGACTCTCCTTTGAAATTGTTTCCCATAGAAAAATTGATAGGTCTTACAGACATGTTCATCAGATGATGGTGAATTCTCGGGCACTAAACGTGCGTTGCTGGTCATTATTGCCCAAAGTAAATGTAGTGGTACAAATGAGTTTATAGAAGCGGAAAACGTACACAGATCTAGAATATGAAGGAATATGAATTTAGAGACTACGCCTTTAAATGTATATTTGATAGTAAAATGAAAAACAAAACATTGTACTAATACAATATAGGATAACTGCAACAACAAAACAAAACAAAACTTGATTTCAATAATAGTTCAATTAAAGATAAAGCTCTAAAATACAAAAAACCAGAAATGAATAGTATGACAACTACTGCTAAATGCTACAATTAATATGAGATATATATATATATATAGTTCAAAATAATGTCATCTGTATTCTTGTTCAACCAATAGTATTGTATCAACATCCGGCAAGAAACGAGTAACCTATATCAAAATTTGTATGAATTTCATAGTTTCTTTTCATAGAATAATGGATGATATGGTTTTTGTTTGCCTAAGAATGCATTTAATGAATATGACGATTGAGTCGTAAATCGCAGATTTATCGTATTCATTTTCGCCGATTTTTTTGAAGAATTTAAACTTTTTGATAACATTTTCTGTAGTTCTTCATTAAATTTCTGTTTGGGACCGTACTCACATAAATATGACAAATGAAAACGTTGATTTTGCTCTTCTAATTCTTTATTCATTCTAAAGATCTGACGTTGTTCACTAACAAAATTAAATAAACGATGACGAAGTTTCATATATACTTGTTGATCCAGAACAGAACGTAAAGAGACAGCATCAAAATGTGTAAAGAAATGATCGATATGTTTTTCAATAAATTCTAAGGAATAACCATTTGCTAAACAGCTCACTTCAAGATAGATACGTTCTTGATTAAAATCATTCACAGACGTACAATAACGAACTGCTCGAATAAGAGATGAACGAAGCCAGTGACTATGTGCCATTTTTGAATTACCAACGACATACGGTAGTGTATATTTTTGTACGGTAGAGGCATCGTGATAGACACGACTAAAGAAAGTACCATTTCGATTTTCAATGTAGGTCTGCAAAAAATGAACATTGGAGTCAATTTTAATATCAAACTGAATATCCCTATGCTGATCATTGACCATTTTAATCAATTCAAAAAATTCCCTATCAGTTTTGTTCCATGTTAAAAAGAATTGATTTTGATATCTCAAAATAAACAAATAGTAGAGAAACGAAAAAGAAACCAACAAACGAAACTTACCGACCATAAAATTCTTTTTCTAAGACAGATTTTCTAAATAACGATTTGAACCAACGTAGTATATAGATTAATGCTAAGGTTTCCGTAATTGGAAAATGAAATGGACTCCCTTTTGAAAAACGATAAATTTTGTGATCATAATAAAACAGATTATTTCGTAGAAATAAAGTAGTTAATTGATAAACCTTGGCGAGTGATATGCCTTGTATGGTTGGCATTCGACAAGGACTATTTAAAAAATCCTGAAAGGCAAAAAGCCACGTATCATGATCTACCATTGCATAGAAATTACGAATAGTCATCGTCACAAACATGGTTGTCGACCGAAGATGATGTGCAGGTTGTTCTACATAATCATTTAATTTTCGAATAAAATCAGTTCCATTATGAAATGTAGTCGAATCTAATTCCATTTGTACCGATGTTCGTAATAAGTCATCTAGAAAACGTGCTAATAGTGCCGTTGCACTATGTGTGGATGTAATTACAGGCTGTACCAAGAGTTCCTGGGCATTCTAACGAAAATAAAAAGAAATCATCTGTCATGGAATTATCGTAAATTACTAAAGCCGTATAACTCACCCGTGAAAGATGTGGTAAAAAATATAAATAAGGTAATTTCACTTTATCGATCGTAACATATAATTTTTCTTGCATTTTTTTGTATTCCTCTTTAGAAAAAATAGTTTGTACTCGCTCATTTATCGACTTTATTTTTGTTGTTAGAAAATCCCGTGTTGCTCGCAGATTTTTCTCGTCAATTATATGACATAACTGAAAAATATCTGTTTCAGTCATAAATTCAGTTGTTTTCTGTTCAAATTCAGTTCGATAAGCAAGATAGAACACATTTTCTTGATCCGCTGTTCGCCGTAAGATTAAATCATAGTCTTTCAAATGTTGACGAATAGTTTCTATCAAATACTGTTCATAGAGAGCACGTCGGCGTAGTGAATTCGGTAATGAGATAGAAAAAGTATCAGTAAATAACTTGTTAATGTCCTGTTTGATCATGGCAGATACAGCCATGTTTACTTGACGTTTGGTGAATAAATTATTTAAATCATATTGTAATGATTTAAATTGTTTTTTAATGATCTCTTCTAGAGATCCATTCGTAGATGAGACATACATTTGATAGGGCGGAACATAAGTCGGTCCACGATTCAATAATTGTAATTGTTCTTTAGTCAGTAGATGTACTGCTGTACCAATAATCATAGTTGGTGAAAAACAATGACTGGGTATAGCAAACGAATCTGGTAAATCGGTGTAATTATGATGTAAACAATACTGAATTCTAAAATTGGAACAATATTCCACTTTCTTATTGATAATATCGACCCGTCGATGAATGATATCCATTAAATCTGTTGGAAATTCTTTATCATTGGTAGAAATTTCTTGAATAGCTTTATGTAGTGTTGCTCGACATTGAAGAATTTTATTTTCCATTTCAATTATACATTCAATCGTTAGATCAGTCATTTTATTTTGTAATTCTTTTTCTTCTTGATCGATGTTTCGTTGATAGCTTTGAGCATCCATGTTCGATAACAATGGCTGTGTACTAAACATAGATAAGGCTCTTCCATAAATCATTTGTGTTGGTTTATTACAAAGAATGCGATGTTTTAATTGAATTAATTCTCGTTTAGCTTGTACATAGGCAGATCTCGAATCATAAAGGTGTTGTGCAAGCTTGATCTAGAAAGAAGTAGGAGGACATGACAAAATTTCTTTTCGTGAAATAATCTTACTTGATTGTCGTTTGTTTTTCTTCGGAAATAGTCACGTTCAAGTAATTGATCAGTATAATTATAGGTTAAAATTTTTACTTTATAATTAAATTTCATTTCAAAAGGTACGATACTGTATGTTTGAACAAATGTTTGAATGCCTTTCTCGATTGCATCATTGAAGTGAATGAGCAAAAGTCTCTTTTCATAATATTCGGCTGAATAGAATTCGATTTTTTCATTTAAATTTTCTAAATGATCGTAGACGATAGCTTCATAGGATTTTTCTTTAATTATTTGACCATTCGAATTGGTGGTATTGGGTGGGTTTGTACGCATTTTTCTTACTGCCGTAGGCCATATACACGGATCCACTTCAGTAATATTATTTTCTAAAATGTCACATTGACCTGTACCTAATTTTAAATAGAATGTCCAAAGTTTTTTATCGATTTCAATCATTGCTATTCTATGTTGAAGAATAGCCAATTCATGTAGATCATTGATGGATAAATGAGTTTGATTTTGAAGCATCTGATGTGTCATCATTTTTTCAAATATATCGTTTAACCTGTTAAAATAGCCCGACATTGGATGTTCTTCAGATTCTTCATGGTCATTGTCATACCATTGCCGGAATTTTTTTCGTTCCGTTTCTTCAGGTGACAATGTCTGTAATGGACGTTTATTATGACAATGAATTTCCTCATCTTCATTACGATGTTCGTCATTGGCACGGACATCTTTGTTCAATAATTGACTGAATTTTTGTGATAAAATTTGCTGATCACCGATCTAAATAATCGGGAAAACCTTACGTTTTTTATGAATTTTCTTCGATATAAAACAATTCTGCTTTACATGTTTGTTATCTGGATTCTTCATGTTGATGTTTTCTTCGGGAATCCTCTCCTCTTTGTTGTCATTTCTATAGAGATGATCAAAATTGAAATCTTTATTGTATTGTTCCATTATATCACTTAAATCTTCATCATTATTTTCTTCGTTTAGAATATCAAAGTAATCATCAAACTGTTCGACAAGTGTCAACTGTAATAAAATGTCAATTCACATTCAACAAACAAAAAACAACAAACAAAAGACAAATATAATTACTTACATGATTGTCCTCCTCTGTAGAAAGATCGATCGTACTTTCTGAATTAGTTGTATACTTAGCCATGCGAGAATCAATGTAGAGTGATTGTTTTTTGTTTTTCACTACGAGAGATTTGTAAAAAAAAAAATAATATCTTTCGGATAATCTAGAATATAGATGTATATATATTATTGAACAATTAATTATACATATATTTAAAACTACCATGAAACTACAGTGATAAGATATGGATAGATAAGAAAAGAAATGATATGTATATAGGATAAAACTAGGATCATTTGAAACAAAACGAAAGAAACAATTTTTCGAATAACTCGAATTTTCCCTGTCTTCATGGACTATTCAGTTCAAATATCCAATGAAAAGAGTCTCTTCATGTGAGATTATGCATTGTTGGCATTTAACTTTGCTAATACACGAGGATGATATAAGTGTTGATGCCAAAAACCATCATGCGTAGTAGTATTTGCTTCCAATTTTTCATCCATATCATCTGTAGTAATCACTAATTTGGGTTGTGCGTACATAACCAGTAAAGCTTCAACAGTATGACGTAAAGCAGTGGAAGCATTTTCAGGCACTAATAGAGAGTTATACGAAACAAAGAAACAAATAAACTGCAGCATAGGTATCACGAAAATTAATAACAGAAGGAAAATAATAGTTTGACTTACAAGCAATAACAATTGCGGCATTGTAGAGATCAAGAAATCGTGTTACAGTAACTTCAGATTTGGTGCGAAAAAATTCATATTGCTCAAGTAGTTGCCGCAAAGAAAATGTATAATTTAATGGAGGCAATGGCACATGATTGACACACCATCGAACTAAGGGCAAAGCACGTTCGTATATACTAATTTCACAGTTTGTGGAAGGTGAATTTTGATAATAAGCCAAGTATTGTCTTTCTACTACAGTTAGATCCGCATTGTCGATCCGAGCTTGTTCACATGTCACAGGTACGAAACACCAATACTCAGGATGACATTCTAAGAAGAGTTTCAATGCAATAGAACATTGTTTCGAATGTGCATAGAGCTTTTTTTGACAATCAGGAATCGATCTAAATACATTTTATGGAATAGGAGTGTTAATTTCGAAGTAGAAAAATCGAACATACGGATCTAGTTCTCGATCGTCTTGTAGACGATCAGCAATAATTTGACCAATAAGAAAATTACTGACGAGTCGACATCCATACGTACGATGTTCTAGAAAAAGACGAAATCGTAGAAAAATATGAGATAGACGATCATGTACTTCTCATTCGTTCTCCAAATGCTTCACAACATCGACCGATATAATCGAAATGATGACAAGGACATGTCAATGCATAGATGATATTTGATGTCATACAAGTCTAGTATGGAACATAATTTTGAGAGTATATAGAAAAACCTCTATCACTGATTTCTACTTACGACATCACAATTTAAATAGACTTTATATTGATTGAGGAAACAATGAATTTGTTGTTTAGAAAAATTTGTTGCCCGTTCAAAACGTCGAGTTAAATCGCATCGTTCGTAACAGAAACGGCAACTTGTGTCGTTACATTTATTCGTACCATAGTGGGCTTCTGGTTGATCATAAATGAATAGACCGACATAATTCCAACGTGGTTTTGCATTACGAAAATTACACGTCTTCATATAGAAACAGGATGCTAAAACAAAGGAAAACACAAAAAACTACTGGATTGAGCGTCACAGTTTCTATTTCGAATTTGTTTGTAACAAACCATCCATTTGTAAATAAAATTCTAAAGCAATAAACCATTCATCGATAGATAATTCATAGGAATTTTGTTGTCGTTTAATTACATAATCATGCAATGTAAATCGAGAAATGAGATGATATAATCGATTTAAATTAATCATTAAAACGCTTGGATGTATATTCCAATGGTGAGCATAGTAATCTAACCGTTGTTGTAAATCGAATCGCAACTTAATGTCAAATTGTAGTAATAATCTATTATAGTTTTCTTCAAAACGATGTGCTTTTCGAACACGTTGTTCGATTAATGTTAAATGTCTTACTAAACGAAAATGTGAATTGATATCATTTTGAGATAGAAAGAAAGAAAGAAAGAAAGAAAAATGTCCTACTCGATATGTTTGCTAAAAGTGGATAAAATTCATTGGCATCGTTGCTGGTAGGAAACACTGGTAGAAACCGTTGCTGAATAGTTGTGTGAATCAGACCAGATCGTAATTGACATAATCGTGAGACATTTTCATGAATTGGTAATGGAAGCCACGGATGTTGCTGGCGTTTTTCTTTTGATTCTTTACATGGAATACTGGCATTATTACTACGCATTGTCTCCAATGTTTGTACTGATACATGAGCAACATTGTGTTTATACCGTGGGTGGTGTGGCAGAGTAGGTGAGGCATTAGCCGAGTCTAAATAAAATGTCAGAAGTCAAATGAAAATGAGTTGTAGTTCGACATACCAGGAGAATCATGGGGTAAGGCATCTGTTGAAAGTAAACGTTGACGAAACATTTGGCTGTGTTACTTTTAAGAGAATCGTTGATTTTCTGATAGAAGGCACACACTAGAAAAGAATCTAGAAAGACAAGTGCTAGGGATCACTGCTAAATGTATGATAGAACGAATGAAAGAAAACGAATAGATGCTTCTACTGAAGACGAACTGTGAATGAAAACTGCAATCTATTCAAGAAATATAGAAAGGAAAAGAGAATTGTCTTGTTTCTTTGGTATTATCGACGAACAAGATTTCGACACCAATCATCATAGGCCGTGGTTAACATTGGATTAACAGTATGGGTTGAGACAAACTGATCTAGATGACCCATCGTATTGAGTTTGGTTTCAGCCTGTGTAATAAATAACGCTTCGACGAATCGTCTTATGGCCGCTGTAGCATCGACTGGTACTATAATCAAATAGAAGAAACAAAGACATTCCCATCCATCATACCTCTGTTCTAGTGAAACAAAAAAAAAAAAACTTACATATGGCAATTATGGTTGTTTGATATAAATCCATATGGAGATTGGGTGTATTTAAATATAATTTATCTGAAAAAAACCGATCGATGGCGTTTTTTTGTTCATAACTAAATCGATAGCCATTTGGTGGTATGGGAACATCATTGGCATAGGTAAGGCGATCCGGCTCTTCGAAGTAGCTATTCGATTGAGATGTAGTCTTTACCGAGAACACAAGAAAGAAATACTTACTGTACAAGTTCCTTTTCTTCTCGTTGCTCGTCACTTTCGGACATTTTTCGAGGAATAAAACGCCAATACTCAGGATTTTCATCAAGAAACCATTGTAGAGCATGTGAACAACGAGTTGAATGTTGATAGAGTTTCATATCATTTTTAACGAGTTTTCTAAATAGTATCATGCAAAAAAAAAAAATAAAGAATAAGGACAATTGATTCCAAATTAATTTACTCGAATGATGGCAATTCATTGCGAATACGTGCTGTATTTTTCTCACCGAAAAGAAATTCTTGTAAGATACGATTTCCATGCTCTTGGTGACCTAGAAGAACATAAGCTCATCTTTTGTTTTTTGTTTTTCAAAAAACTTGACACCAATAGAGAGAAAGTTTTCTTTACAAACTAGACGATGATTAAGTGATGAACTTGTTTCACCAATATAATCCACTTGTCGGCATGGACAAGTCAGAACATAGATAATATTTTTTGTTGTACAGGACGCTGGACAATTAAGAATCGATTCGTATCCATTAATAAATGTATGTCGCTGATGAGATCCAAATCGGATGATGGGTTGTTGGAGACGATACACTCCTTTATAGGATGGATAGCATAGGCAACAAGATAATTCATTACATCGAGTGATTCCATATCGTGCCTGTGGTTCACTTAGACAAAATAGATTTTTGTCACCGAGAAGCAATGTTTGCGCACCTCGATAGGAGCAGGTCTTCATATAGAAAAGATGAACATCGATTTGTAGAAAGAATTCCAAAGCTAATGCATATTCTTCTTCACCAATGTATTCTTGATCGGGTCGAGTTGAAAAACAATGAATTCGATTTGCCGCAAATAATCGATTTAAGTTCATAAGTTGTCCAAAATTATGTTTCAAAATGTCTCGGTTGATATTCCAAAGACGACTTAATGAAAATATTTGTCTTTCATGGTCATTGGTCGGTTTTAAAGCAGTAGGTTGATGATATCCTTGTTGACATCGGCGTTCTAAATCTTCTTTCTCCAGATGATGACCTATATTTTAAAAGAATGGACATTATCTTTAGTTTTTGTGAATAGCCTACTTGGAATATTGGTAAGAAGTAAATTTGTATCAGTGTGATTCGCAACCGTTGGATAAGAAGGTAGAATAGCATAACGGCCACTAGAAGTAGGCTTTTTCAATTGCTTTAATGTAGATGTTGAGGCTTAAAAATGTATATAGAAACAGACTAGTATCATTATAAATAATTGAGTCATATTAATTATACCTGATGTTTGATCGTCAAGATCATACAACATAGTTCAATCGTGTTATGAATGAGACCAGTACGTAGCTATGAAAGAAGCATATCTAGAAGTAATCCCATTTATATGTAACTATTATACGTTTTTATTCAAGTGAAATACGAGATGTATTGATTCGTTTTTGGTCCTCTTCCTCGAAGTTCAAAACTATTGAAAACTAGCGAAGTTAAGAAAGCCTAGGCGTGACATTGGCATTTTCTAAACTGGTGACAACTCACCGTATCATCTAAATCGTATCCTATTTCAAACCAATAATAATACCAATAAAATGAACGGATGAAAGGACAATGTAAATGGAAAAGGTAGTTTCTACATAGGATCAAAAAAAAAAGAAACTAACACGACAAGAAAAACACTGAGAACACTAAAGATAATAGTGAGTTTTTTGTTATTTATTTGTTTTTCAATTGACCTGATTGTTGAGTGTGTTCGCAAAAAGATCGAATTAATTGTTGCCATTTTTCTATTTCTTGTTTTTCGTTTTCTTTCGCTTGTGTAGTTTGATTGTGAGTGCCAACTTCCTTTGCATCGGCTTTCGTATCAGAATCATCATGAGAGTGGGTTGCAAAATAATATTCATCAACTGGTGTAAATTCGTAATCATGCTGCATATTACATTTTAAATCGAAGGAAGATGACAATTCACAATGACAACCAGTGTTTTGGTGTTGAAGTGGCTGTTGACAGTACTGTTCATACAATTTTTCTAATGCAGCCGGATCAAAAATCTCATACCTATTATCCATAATACTATTCCGTACAATGAAAGCAAATAGTCTAGAATGATAAGAGATATAAGATATGTTTTACTAAAAGATTAATAAAAATGAATAATTGTTTTTTTTTTTGTCTTTTTGTTTTTTATGTCTCTCTATAAATGATTTCAAAATGTTCAATTAAAGGAATCAGTTTGTATTAAATGGATACACTGGTAAATGAATAATTTCAATCGTTATGCATTGTGCATTTGCATCTTCACGCAAGTAGGCAGGTAATAATTCTCTTGGATTTTGGTTGGCTCGCACTAAATCAAATCCTTTTAAACTGGAATGGATATACCAGATACATTGTTTTTGTGCTTCTTCACGAGATTTCATTACTTTTTCTTTATTTTCTTGATCATAATGTCGAACATGTCGACGAAGTATATTATAAGTTGCTTGATCATAATAAAGTGGTAGATCTGCTACTTTAAAATGAAGAAAAAATTCTTCTAGACTTTCTCGAATATATGTAAATGAAAACCGATTAAATAAAAATGAATAAATAATATATTGTTGTTCATGTTGAAAATCTTCTACTTGTGAACAACATAGAACAGCACGAATTAAAGCTGTTTGAATAAGATTCCATGGTACATCGGAAGATGTATCATACATAGTTGGCATAATATAGGGTTCAAATTTCCAATCATGATAAACTTCAGTCTGAAGAGTTTGCTTATTCCAATGATGTATTTGTGCATCCAGAAAATGAATATGTTCTGTTTTCATTTCAATCTCATATTGAATGTATGAATCTTTTTCTTTTATCTTGTCAAAGATGCGTTCCAATTTGACTTTGGTTTCATTCGATGTGAGAAATATTTCCGAAAAACATCGAACAAATATTTCATTTTCATTTTGATAGGCAAGTATAGTTTGTTGCCAATAGAAGAAATATATATCTATTAAAAGTGTATTGAAATATAAACCGGTACCACCACCTGTGACTTGTCGATAAATAGAATGTTGAAAAATAAAATATTGATGTGTAAGAAGAAATTCACTTAATTTTAAGATTGTCATTGTATTGATACCTTCCGCTTGGTCTTCTAATACGTAATCATCAAGAAATTGTTTCAAGGTTTTAAGTAAATGTTCATGAGAGACACATATGTAAGGATCTTGAATATGTATCGTAATGAAGTGAGTAGTTGCTTGTAAGTAACCTTTTTCTTCGTAGTTTTCTAAGCGCGGAATTAAATCAGAACCTTTAGTAATGGTCATATGTTGAGCTATGTTGTTATAATAGAGAGGAGCTAAAAGACGATGTAGGTAACGACATATTGGCATCAATGGACTCAGGATGGAAGTGATGGTCGGTTCAAATATAACCATGTCGTCTTTATTCGAACTCGGACTAAATGATATAAAATCTAAACGGATCGGTGTGGGTCGATAATTCATTTGATGATATTGAAATGGAGTAATTAACTGATGATCATGGAGAGATTTTAATAGATTTTCAATATCATTGACCATTGTATTGAGTAAGCGTTGAACGGCTTGCTGATTTTTGGTTACATATAAGTTTTCGATTAATGTAAAAGCTTTTGTTCGTACCATATAATCATAAACTTGCTCCTCCAGCATATTCTTATGATATACATACCAGAGATTAGTTTTGATGCATTTCATAACAAAATAATTTCGTCGTTTAAGTCGATCCGAATACTTCTTTAAATTCTGCTTTTTGATACAATCCAATAACGGTGCATCATGTTGAAATGGTCGTACATGTATCATTGGTATCATTTCATGGCGTCGATCTATATAAGGTGTCCATAGTTCTTGTTCATCCGAATTTTTCAAATGACTACTTTGCACAATCAAAAACATAGAGGGCTTTCTAAGGTCAACCATTGTTAATAATCTAGAAAAAAACAAGAAAAATGATGAATTATGATATGTTCGGACTGATATTAGTGAATGATTTTCTATAAAGTATGTGATCAATGTAACGACACTCAAATAATATGTAAGAATAAAGTCATACTACGTCAGACTTACACAGATACCTTCGCATCGCTGAGTAGTGCTCAACAAAATCCAAATAGCAAGTTTCTTCTCCAAGACCGTTATACTCGTAAAACAAACGAAACATTGTGGGCCATCCGTTCACCGTCATCCATCACATGCCATAGAATTCTCAAGTAATACGAAATGATGCTGCCCTTCGATGGTCAAGTTGGTACAATTGTGAGAAATCATAGGATCATGAAGTGTCCCTCGATGGAAGTACTTTTGGCTCAGAAAGTGTAAATATCGCACTGCAAACTGCGTCTCAATCCGAGTCTATGGCGAGCAGAAACCTAGGGACAATCAGCGCCCATGTTTGTCGGAAACCTAGCGTCCATAGGTGCCCATGTTTTGTGCAAATTGTGGGTCGATCGGCGCCACTACTGTGAGAAAACCTCAACTAGATCGGCGCCATTATGGCGCACAACCAGTGGTCGATATGGCGTCCATGTTACAAGAAACCTATGCACAATCGGCGCCATGTTTCACAAAGACGTCGGGTTAATGAGCGACAAACATTGCGCGACAACCTCCAGTCAATCCGCGCCAAGGCTGCGCGGAAAACTTTAATGTTGTCTTATGCGCAAATGTTGCACGGAAGCGATCGCCAATCGGCGCCAATGTGGAGCGAATGTTACGCAGCAACCTCGAGTCCATCGTCGCTAATGCTGCGCGGAAACTTGTTGTCTATACAGTGCCCATGTTGCACGAAATCTATAGTCGATCGGCGCCAATGTTTCACAGAGACGTCAGGTCAATGTGGGACAAATGTTGCGTGACAACCTCGAGTCAATCGGCGCCAATATTACACGAAAACAAGTGGCCTATATGGCGCCGACGTTTCACAAACAATTATGGCGAATCCTCGCCAATGTTTCACAGAGACGGCCTTTTCATGAGGGACAAATGTGGCGCGGAACCTTTGGTCAATAGGCGCCAATGTTGCGGCGAAACGTTTTGACCAATCGACATCCATGATGAGCGAAAACGTTGGGTCAATCCGCACCGACGTTTCACAAAGGCGTCGCATCGACCTGGGACAAATGTTGCGCCGCAACCTCAAGTCAATCCACGCTAATGTTACGCGGAAACCTATGGTCTATATGGCACCCATATGGCGCGGGACCTATGGTCAATGGGCGCCAGTCTTATGCGGATACGTTGGGCAAATCCGCGCCAATGTTGCACGAAAACGTTACGCGCATCGGCGCCTATGTTTCACAGAGACGTCAGGCCAATGTGGGACAAGTGTTGCGCCATAACCTCAAGTCAATCCGCACCAATGTTACGCGGAAACCTATGGCCTATATGGCGCCCATGTGGCACGGAACCTATGATTAATGGCCGCCAGTCTTGTGCGGAAATGTCATGCGAATCGGCACCAACGATGAGCGAAAACGTTGGGTCAATCCGCGCCAATGTTACGCGGAAACCTATGGTCTATATGGCGCCCATATGGCGCGGGACCTATGGTCAATCGACATCAATTTTTCACAGAGACGTCGTGTCAATATGGGACCAATGTTGCGCGCAATCCTCACGTCCATTGGGGACAACATTTCGCGGACACTTCGGGTTAATCGGCAGTGATGTTGTGCGGAAATGTACAGTCAATATGGCAAAAATATCGTATAGAAACCTCAAGTCTCTCGGTGGCAATTTTTCGCAGTAAAATCGAGTCAATCGATACAGATGTTGTCCGGAATCCTTTGGTCAGTTGTCGCATGTGTTGAGCGGAACCTTTAAGTGCTTAAGTCAAACTGATGGCGAATAGCCCTGAGTGCTAAATGAGAACACTACGGTTGTCACCAATGCTCGGATTTGTTGAGGAGACAATTGGGTCAATGACGGTAGGCATTCGCTCAATGGATATTTATGTTCCCGGCTGAATATTAGCTGTACCCGTGCTGTTACTGCAGTAATGCTTAAGTGATTGTCTAACACTCTCTCAAATACAAAAATGATAGAAAATAAAGTATATGAGGTTTGTTTCGAATGGTTTGAATTGAAATTTTTTCAATGACGAAGAATTATTGTTCCTGTTCTGTCCGATCCGTGTTTCATAGTCGTTGACTTGGGAAAAATGGAAAAATAATATGGAATATCACAAATACGCAAATGATATTCTTGACAGGAACATGACTTGGATAAATCATGTCAGTAATATGGAACATATAGAGAAACATGCCATTATTCTAGGATAATTGTGATATAAGCTACACTATTGCTCAAATATTTAATAAAATCAACAATAAATGACAATTTACAAAGAAAGAAAAAAGTGAAACTAGATGAAACATTGAAAAACACTCTATGAAAGTCATCCTACAGCATCCATCATCACATGAAATCCAAGAAGCAATTAGTTTAAATTTTTGTATAATAATTTGTTTTAAGACTGTAGATATGCTTTGTACAAGCTAGAATATTTTTTTGGCGATCATCAATGAGTAAAAGCATTGTTGGATTCAATTGTTCATTCTTTGGAAGCTTGCGTTGATCGTTCCACATTTGAGCCATAAATGTATTAAAAGCATTTTGATGTTGCTCGTTCTGAATTTCTGCTGCTGTTGTCAAGATCATCATTAAATCCGCTTTTGTTCGTTGTATGATTCGGATATAATTACTCGATAATCTTTCACGTAGCACAGTATTCATGATGGTAGTAATCGATGTTGGTAGTATTTCTTCAAGTGCATTTAATGATTCGGGCAACTTTTTGTATAGAACACCAAATTTAAATAAAATTAACTCTTGTTCTGACTTTTCTTTTTGAAGTTGAAGTCTTGCTATATGTTGTGCTAATTTGATCTAATAGAGGTGAAGACAACAACAAAAAAAAAACGGAATATATCAGGATACAATGAAATAAGAGAGAACGATTTCAAGAACGACAAAAAGAATAAACATACTTGGTCTTCATTAGGCTTTTGATGAAGATATTTTAATTGTAACACTTGATCCAAATAAACATATTCAGCCAAATCTATTCGTGCTTCGAAATGAAGTCGCATAGCCGTAATCTGATCATTCTTCCGTACATAATCATCAATTTTATAAGTCAATTCACAGGAAAATGTATCCATGTGATCTTTAGTGACATTAAATTGCTTTTCAAAGTGAGCAGCTTGAGTATCAAATTGAAATAGATTTTTCTTTATAAAATTAACATACATATCATATGTAATTTCTTTTTCATCTATGATATCATTATAACGTTGAGCAATCATCAACGATGTAACAGGATAAGGCCAAATACAAAGTGATTGATTAATCGTTTCCTGTTGAGATTCTTTTAATGCGTTTCGTTCATTGAAGAGACGAGTACCACATTTCAAGTAAACATTCCAAAGCTTCCTATAATAATTGATAATGGTTAATTTGTGAGTAAGAATGGCTAAACATTGCAAATCAGTACCATCAATTGGATTATAAGTACGATAGAATTCAGAGACAAATGTAGCTTTAAATGATCCATTTGTCAAAGATAAGTATTCTGGCACCACTTCTTTGTCAACATCATTTTCGATATTCATGTTTAATTGCAAATATTTTGCTTCAAAATCCAAGTCATCATAAAGTGGACGAAAATTGTCATCCAAGAAAGTCATGCGTATATTCTATTTCATAAACACAATGTTGAAACAAAGTACAAAAAGACAATACGAATAAAGCAAATAAGCTTTGACAACAGTACGTACCATGGGCATCACAGCAGCCATGAGTATATTTTTCTGAAGGCTATTAAAAGATGCGAGTAATATTACTTATAGAAAAAAAAAAAACACTTGGGAAAGATTGATCTGAAATAAGCAAGAAAAAATTAACAAAAAAATAAAAATAGAATCATTGATTTTTTAATGTAAAAAAAAACACATAACTGAACTGTCAATCATTATATTTTTCAAAAAAAAAAATCCTCCATTTATTACAAATAGAAAAAGACAAACGACATTGCTGAGAAATGAAGGTTGTTGATAGAATGATATATCCTAAGCACTGTTGATAGGAGAAGATCATGAGCAAATCATCAGAAAATTCCAAGCGTATGTTGGCGTTATGGGACCTTGAAAATTTATGTGCACATTTCAAAACATATCACAAGTAAAGAAATGATTCGTCAAGCATCGCAATGTGATTCGAATAGTTAAATACAATGGAGTCCATCTTTTCTGTATCACGATCACTGGAATGTATCAAAGTAGAAAAGTGTCAGAAATATGACAGTGGCATGAAGGATAATTTGTGTTAGTAAAAGTGTAAAAAAATGTCGACTGTATAATGAAATAGTTATTGTTCAATGTGAGGCGATGTGGTATGTCGTGTTTTCGTGGATGTTTCTGGTTCTATAGTACATTCGCTATTCATGAAACCTTCCCGGTTTCAATCGAGATAGGTTGGACACACAGGGTTCATCGCATGGTGATAGGAAGCACCTATTTTGAACAAAAAATCCTAGTAGTCATTTTTAGGGTGACGATGGTCATGCTACACTTTCTTGTAATTATTATCCGTTTTTTGGCAAAGTTCTTATGTTCTTTCTTTCATGTAAAAATCTTTGGTACGATTGATTTTGTCTGTAGAGTTTCTTATGGTTGTGGGTGAAACGTTATCATACTCAGACTATTCACCGAGAATGAGGAAGAGGTTGGGCCATAGGTTCACTCTTACTGACCATGTTCGTCATCCTCGTCAATTTCTAGGGTGTGGATGCTCTTGGGCTGTCAGCTGCCACTATTATGTGAAACCATGGAGTCTGGAAGTGCTAGTGTAGGGGAATGTCCTTGGCCCAAGCAGCACAAGTGTTGTACGGCACGTACGATTCTCAGTTTCAAGTGCCAGATTTGGAAGTAGGCTTCACACAACAAGTGCTAGTGTGGCACAGAACGGTTGACTCAACCAAAGCAAGTGCCATGTGGAATCTTTAAGCCCTCAGTTCGAAGTGCGAGTGCTATGAAGTAGCATTAGCCAAAGAAGTGCGACTGTTGCAACAGTGCATAAGTCCCAAAGACGTACTCTTCTGGGGTGCCCGAATGTGTTCAAATCAAATTATTGGGCGCTACAATTGAGACCTAAATGAGAATTCCATGGTGCCCTGGAATACTAGGGCTGGAGCACAGTGGCTACATGGTTGATGACGAAAGACATTGTCTGGCTGTTCGCAGCGTTTTCATGCAACTGACAATGGGTCGTTACCGTTTACGCATATCGGAAACGGTAACAGGAACTTATGAACCCTACTTGTAGTGCTGAAAGTAAAACTGTTTAGTTTTCGCTTGTTGAATGAAAACAACTATAACTTTTATGATGAGCGATGAAACGAAATATTCGTGTTTTTGTCTTTACTACTACTAGATCGCTCTGAAATACCAGCGTGGATGTGTTCCATTTGTTATAAAATAGCGTCTCAAGTGATCGCCAGCAACGACAGGAATGCGTTGCCTTTTCGATGTAGGCTTCCTTCTGGTCGTTATAGTTGAACATTTTCCAGTATGTGAGTAGTGATGTGTATCTTAGAAAAGCTATAGTGTAGCTTATATTTCAAAAGAGTATCATGAGTGTATCGATTCAGGATAACCAGATCGCATCCGAGAAATGGGAGAGAAATGAATTAAAGGAACAAAAAACACAAACAATGCTCGAGTGTCACGCTGAATTTTTCTTCATTTATAACCTTATTTCAATATCACCATGAGTTTTTCTATGAACTGGTTTGCACTCTCATTTTGTTTTCGTTTAAAATATTTTTTTAAGATGCACTGAGTACCATGGATAATCATTCTAAAGTAAATAAAGAAAATAATTATATTCAGGGGAAACTTTTGTTTTTACTTCGATGAAATCTGTTGAATAGAGATAAATCATTCGAAGACCAATCGAGTTCCACGGCCATCAATAATTTCGCCATTGCTAAACCACGATGTACATGATAAATAATATTTTGTTGATAATCAATAAGATTACCATTTGGTTTATGAATAAATTCTCCAAATGTATATTCAATGGCTGCTTCTAACGTCCACTGATCATATACATTTTTATATGGACGATATGGACAACTACAATAACAATGATCTTGTACATCAAATGATGGAACATAACATTTTTTAAGATGTTTGAATGTTTTATTATACCAAACTTTGAATGGCCCTTGTAATACAATCAAATATGTTTCATCGAATGTACATTTTGAAAGATATGCCCATAAGACTAATATTTGTAAATCTTCTTTATTATCATTCGACCAAACAATAATTCTTTTTGATGGATGAAAGATTTTGTTTATTAATGTACGTATGACTGAAAATAATAGTGTATTCGGAGAGGGCAAATGTAACAATTCCAAATATAATACAATCGATTCTTTTCTTTGAACTTGTACGAGTTCAATTTCAATCAAAGTAACCATGTTTAATTCCCAATGTCTTTCGGTATGAATTGTAAAAGTTTTTGTTTTTTCAATTTCTGGAATCAGATTCAACAAATGTTCAATTTGTGTTAGACGATGAATTGGAGCAATACGATATGGTTTTAATGGTTGAATTGAATTCAATAATGGGGTATGAAACTCGTCCTGTTCTTTAGAACAATTATTTCTTATGCCGTTTTTATATTGTTCATATAGGGATTGAATATGATAAGAATTTTGATGATTCATATTTCCTTTTAGTTTCCAATCGAATGTATGATATATCTAGAGTAAAGTAGATTAATAATTGAAGCATCTAAGAGAAAACTCTCTACAAATTCTAAATAGATTGTGTATTGTATGAAAAAGAAAAAGAGACATGAATAAAGCGTTTAACAAAATATGAACGATACGATAAAATTAACTAAATCCGATATTCAAAAAAAAAAAACGTGAAATGGATAATATAATGTAATAGTGAAACATTTGTTTCGCAATGATTGACAATGCCAAAAAAAAGAAGAAGAAATATGCATAGTATTACTCGAATGAAACATATATGAATAAATGGAAGTACTGTAAAAATGCAAAAAAAAAAAGACCCATGCAGTAAGCTTAAATGACATGAAAAAGTCTCCATAAGTTCGTGTTCATATAACCCAAATTAATCTGACATATATCCACTTTGAAACGGAGCTATATCATTGTGAAGGGTTGCAATTGTTGGAACATGTTGCTGCTTTCGACGTATTGAGTAATTTTTGTTGATTTCTTGTTGTGTTTGTTCTTGATCTTGGTGTCGGAGTTGTCCTTGTAATTGTTGTAAAAGTGTTTGTTGTTGTTGCAGCTGTTGTTGAAGTTGTTGCTGTTGTTGAAGTTGTTCGTCGATATTCGGAAATACGCATTTCGAAAAATAGGAGAAGCAAGTTTTACATGGACTTAAACCAGCACGAGCTAGTAAAAAGTGCATAATAAATCCGATGAATATTATAATGAAAATCACATCAATAATATCCCGCCAACTTGTCAATATTGGAAAACTTTTCGAATGATGATCACTAATAGCACCTGACACATACGTAGCATTGATAGAATTATTAATTAAATAATTAATCATGGTACGGTGATCATTAACGGTTGTTTGTAATGCATAGACATCGACTCTACCAGCATCAAGTTGACGTTTCATTCGTCCGGTAGCAAATGATTTGCCAAGGTTTACACATGGATGTAGTTTCAATAAAATTTTTATTTCTTGTAAAGTCATTTCACGATGACATTGATCGGTTTCATTATTTGAAATATCAGCTGCCACTATGGAGCATAAACCATAGATGCATAAGAATAGAAGATATGAATTATAGAACAAATTAAAAGTCATTTTGGATCAAATGCAATCTTAAATATTTTTATCTGAAATCATTTTTGCATAATGAACTATTTATGGTTGATGACATTGAATTTCGATTACGTATAAACAAAAAAAAATATCGATGATATAATAAGTCAATCAAGAAAACAGAAATAGGAAACAAAATACAAAAAAAAGGCTAAACAGAAAAAGGTTTCCTTTCATTCGTATAAAAGAAAAAGTTGGGATAAAAATGTAGATGTATAGATGTGAATGACAGTGGCTGGATGCACTTGAGATTCCGATGAACATCAAAGACGCATTGCATTGATACATATCACATCAATTCGAATAGCCATAGTGATGTTTGTATAAGACCCATGATTGTAACTACTTTTTACAAAGTACTATAGAGTGGTTTATATTAGATGGTTGCTTTAAAAAATTTTGCATTCTCAGTGTATGATCATCATCATGCGTTTTCTTTTCATTACAAGTAAAAGAAGAGCCCATATATCAAGTTCATAATCCGATTCAATGTCATATTCATTCTGAAAACAAAACTAATCCATCTAGAATTAAATATATGTAAGGTAAATCAAAACCAGAGAAAAAAACAGTTGAATAGATAAAGCCACTAAGAAACAAGACATAGTTCCACACTACATTAATGAACGACAAGTACAACAGTAGACATGCAAACACTAAACAATATTATATCAATGTTTAAATGTTTCCTATTGATTAATTGAAAACTTAAGAGTGATGATTATCAATTATAAAATGACTTAACGATGTAAGTATGATCGGGAACACACTCCTCGTGATCATATTTAACCAGAGCAGATGTTGATGGGTCTGTACAACAAGTTTTCATGTTACATGGTTCATCATCATTGTCGACTTTAATTCGCTTCAATTCAACGTCATCATAAGTGGCCTCATGTTCACGTTTTAATTTAAATAAATTGCAATTGAAGTTTTCCGTTTCTATATTAACGGCAGCGACTAAGTCGATAAATTTTTCAAGTAGACCATTGTGGGCCATTCGTGTCAAATATCGATCCGGAATGAAAATATTATTTTCATCTAAGATATAACGATCATATGTAGGCTTCTCAACTTCGAGTTTCACTGAAGCCATATCATTGTAAACAGGTAATATAGAATCACTTTTTGAATTTTCCATTTGCATCAAAGAATGAAAACGGGAAGAAAAATCGGATATTGGGCTTGGCAGTAGCACAAAGAAATGTTGATGAGCTGAAAATTCAATTATCTGAAACGAAAAAGTAAAAGCTGATCAACAAGTGGAAATATCACAATACAAAAAAAAAACGCCACTAAAAATGGCTGCCAACGTAACTCACCGGACATATGAAGTTACTTTTTCTAGAAAAACGCTCTCATCGCACCCCACTCATCTGGCAATTTCTCCACAACAAACAAAATAGAATATGACTTCCAAGCTAATTCCAGGTGACTCCATTGGAAATCGTGACAAAGACATTGCCCATCCCCCTGATGTTTCCAAATGAAAACCATACAGTCCCAAAAACAGAAGGCAATAAAATCCGAAGAAAAACCGGCCTTTCAAGGACCATTCTCGCTTACAGCATGAAAACAAACACTTCGGACCACGAAGGCCAACAGCTAACATAGTGAAAAGCCAAATTGCACTTATGGTGAAAACCACCAAAAAAAAAGACATTCATCCATTAAAAACTTTTGACATTTAATAATCCTCCATATTGATGGGAACAATCATTCGTAAAAAGATATACACATATGCATATCTTCCACTTAAGAGCAACCCCTTACAGAAAACTGAATGGAAGTTTTAAGGTGCAACACAAATCACCATATATAGTTTCATGAGAACGCAACAATCAAGCATCAAAATACTTATTACAGATGCAGCTAAAACTCATGGACAAACATAAGTATCCATCAATAACTCACATCTTTCAAACCATAAACCAAACAAACTTGCCCGTCGCGAACCCTCACAAACCGTATGCAATTTTTCCTTGCAAATCATCCTATTCCACATCTCATAAAACCCACCGCATCTGGCCGATACGAACGAAACATATTCGATAGAAACAGTTGCACAAACTACACCGTTAACTCATTGCATGGTCTATGCAACATTGACACCGGACTTCATATGTGCAAATCTACCTAATGTATCATATACATCATCCTCTCCATTTCTCTCTTTCCAACCAATCAATTTCAACCCGACGCCGCAAACAATGACTAAACATTACATGCAAATTCCTTTCAAAGAAAATCCGCAATAACAAAAATTTACATTCTAAACCATTTTCCCTCCAAAATTCCTCTGGATTCCCTGCGATTTTGACATTTGCCCTATTTTCTTTTGATCCTTTCATGTAAACATGTTTCTGATCATTTGGAACTAATTTCAATCTCGAATACCAAAACGCAAGCGAACGGTCACTCTTATTTCTAAGCATATCACCGAAAACAAATTGCAAACACTGGACTTCAAAAATACTAAGAATTCCCCGTGAAATATTAATATTTCGAAAATCGATGAATACATCTTGGTACGGTACACTCTAACATAAGTTTATCAATGATTAGATTTCAGAAACGACACTCCGTATGCCTACAATGGGTATCCCCTATGTTACTAATTTTGGCCTAATCTATACATTTACATTTCGTGTGATAAATTTCATTGAATTGATTTTCTTTTTGAGAAGAATGGTTGAATTGCTTTCTTATATATATAAATACTATCGCATTCTATCGCATAGATGTATAAAATAGAAAATTTAAAAAAAAAAATTTTCCTGTCAAAACCCATTTTGTATTAAAAATCCGTCCGGATTCCTAGGGATTTTGACTTTCTCTCATT